TAAGAGCCTGCTGCGTTCTGTATCTATCTTAAGCAGCCACATCACCTACAGTGAAAATAGACTCACCTACAGGAAATCTTCAGATAAAGTTGCCTCTGTCTATCTATAGGACATTCCTCCAGACTTCCTCCTGATCTCTCAAGACACACAGTCCTTGGGGATAAGGCAAGAAATGTACACAGTGACTTCTTTATACTAAGGGTAAAAATTCTAGAAACTTCCATTAGGTGAACTATGATTCTTTTTTATTAATATATTTAGAGACCTGACTTTTACATTCTGGTTCCAATATGTAAGGCAAGTAGTAAGCAGAGGGTTTAATATCATAACAACACTGTAATCTAGTCTGAATACTCCCCAAACCATTCTTGTTAGCTAAGGTATCTTCCTTCAAGTGACACACCTATTTAAATAAAGACCATGATACAATTTCATTGTTTTTCGTTAAAATTGTCTAGAAACGAAGTCTAGAAGTAATAGCTAAGAATTGAAGGGTTTTTTTTTTTTTGTTGTTGTTGATTTAAAAAAAAAAAACCCAAGTGATCTTTGCCAGGCAGGATGAGAAGCACAATTAAATATACTGCTAGAATTAAAATGAATGAAGACCAAAGAAAAAAGACACAATGGAGTAGAGAATATAAACATGTAACTCTGGCCTTTCATTAACTACTCCAAGGTCATTCTCATTTGGCATGGGTAATTTCACTATTAAATCATCACACAAATATCCTTGCAATAGCTAATAAACAAATTTTAGTTTAGTTTTTAAAGAAAATATATCATCTAATTTTCATTATAAACTCTATTCTGTTTCTTTTTTTTCTCCATTTTTTAATTTAAATTAGAAACAAGATTGCTTTACATGTCAATCCAAGTTCCTCTCCTTCCCCTCCTCTCCTGCCCACCACTAACACCCTACCTATCCCATACCATTTCTGCTCCGAAAGGGAGGGTGAGGCCTTCCATGGGGCGGTCTACAGAGTCTGTTATATCCTTTGGGATAGGGCCTAGGCCCTCCCCCATGTGTCTAGGATAGGCATCCGTCTATGCAGAATGGGCTCCCAAACTTTATTCCTTTGCTAGGGATAAGTACTGATTTACTACAAGAGGCTCCATAGATTTCCAAGGTCTCTTCACTGACACCCACATTCATGGGGTCTGGATCAGTCCCATGCTGGTTTCCCAGTGATCAGTCTGGGGGCCATGATCTCCCCCCTTGTTCACGTCAGCTGTTTTTGTGGGTTTCACCAGCCTGGTCTTTACCACTTTGTTCATCACTCCTCCTTCTCTGCAACTGGATCCCAGTTCAGTTCAGTTTTTAGCTGAGGGTATCTGTTTCTACTTCTATCAGCTGCTGGATGAAGGCTCTAGGATGGCATATAAGTTAGTCAAAAATCTCATTATCAGGGGCAGGCATTTAGGGTAGCCTCTCCACTGCTGCTTTGATGGTTAGTTGGTATCATCCTTGTAGATCTCTGAACATTTCCCTAGTGCCTGAACCACTTTGTTCATCACTCCTCCTTCTCTGCAACTGGATCCCAGTTCAGTTCAGTTTTTAGCTGAGGGTATCTGTTTCTACTTCTATCAGCTGCTGGATGAAGGCTCTAGGATGGCATATAAGTTAGTCAAAAATCTCATTATCAGGGGCAGGCATTTAGGGTAGCCTCTCCACTGCTGCTTTGATGGTTAGTTGGTATCATCCTTGTAGATCTCTGAACATTTCCCTAGTGCCTGATTTCTCCTTAAACCTATACTGGCCCCCTCTCTGATGGTATCACTTACTTTGCTCCCCTATATTTTCCCCTACACAACCTTCCTGCTCCCTTTAATAGCCATCATAAAGAACTGGCAAGGAATGTCTTCTTTGCCTTTCAAAAATGCAAACTTGGCAGTAGAGTACTGTGACCATCTGTGATTTGCATGATTAAGACACATACATAATTTAGTTCATTTATGAGGGCATTAACAAAAGTCATCAAAACATTAACATTTGCTCATACTAATGTTACTGTGAATATAAAAATATTTCAGAGGAAAGGGGAATGTATATGGAAGCCTCATATCACCTATGAGGGAAAAACATATGGGGAATGTATAGAAGAGATGACATGCATGTAAAAAAAAAAATGGCTCTTTTTTTTTTTTAAATCAAGAGTCATTCCTAAAGAAGAGAAACCTGGTATTGGAGAGCAACTTGTATGCACTAGTCCTTCACCATAAGTGAGGTTCACTTTCATTATTGACTTGTCTTGGCAAGGGAATAAGGAATAAATCAGACAAAATATTTATTGCTCCTTTACTACCATCTTGTATTTTAGTGAATGTTGACATAAGCTTTTTCATAAACTACCTGAGACAGGCAGGGTAAACAATTATTAATTTCTGGTAAATGTTGGAGGTGGAAGAAGACACAATGTATACTATAAATCTACTCTGTGACAGGAAATCTCTAAAGTTTCATCGTTAATGTCCAATTCTCTGGATTTATGATCCTGAATTCTATAAAGCTAAAATATCAAACAATGTTTTTTTGCTTTATCAGCATAGTATTTTTGTAATTTTTTTATTAGTTCAAATTAGGAACAAGCTTGTTTCACATGTTATATAATGTTTTTTGCATAGAGCATAATTACTAAAATGTAAGAGGCATCAGATTGTTTTTCCCCCAAATATTTATTCTGAAGTCCTAATCACCTCGGAATGTTAGAAGTCGTGGTATAGATAAAAGCAGTTAAGATGAGGGCTAGGAGGAACATTTAACCCTCTAGAAGACGGAGGGGTTCCTAAGACATGCATGAAGACACCTGGTGACAATGAAGGCAGAAACTAAAGATACACAATGGCAACCAGGACACCTTAGCTAACCAGCAAACCCTAGAAGCTAGGAAGAGGCCAGGAAAGATTCCTACATGTGTCACAGGGGCATAAGTCTGCTTTTGCACCTCCAGCCTTCAGAAATGTACAGGCATATATTTCTGTTGTCTAAGTCACTCTGTGGTGTTTGTTGTAGCAGCCAGGGTAAGAACACATGAAAAAGTTTAATGATACCACGGTAGAAAGGTGATTGTAACTCAAGACAAGACACAGAGAGAAAATCTTCATGAGATACATGTATCTAAAGGATTGTTACCCCAAATCACAAAGAATTCTAAAAGCTTTCCAATAAGAAAGCAAAGAGCATGTCACAAATGGGCAAATGCCCTGCACCAGGTATATATGTGAGGAGGGGGAGCAAGTGAGAAGATGCTCACTACCAGATGTCTTTAGTAAACTGCAAATTAAAACCACAGAGGGCTGGGGGTACCACTCAAGAGCCAATAAGCAGATGGCTGAACACTACTCATTCCCAAGGAGATATAATCCCAGTTATATTACACAGGTAATATACGAGCATCATGAGCGCAGAGCTCTGAGCCAGCAGGCAGATGATGTGACTGCTTTTTAAAACATAGCAACTGGGGTTGTACATTTATTCAACTACTTAGGAAGGTGATTTGCCAGTACCTAGCCAAGCAGGTCTACTGCATGACCCATGAAGATACATTTTTACTTTTCTAGACATAGCAGTAAGGCTTGCACATGAATAAACCAAAAGATAAAAACACGAATGGTGCTGATTATATCAACGGAAGTTCTTATGTTAAGAAGCTGAAAAACCCATTTCCCTCTAATAGTAAGTTGAATAGCTTATGCAGAAACATTATACAGCCAAGAAAATGGATAGCCTATAGCCACTTTGTAAAATATTGGATTCACTAACATAATGACAAGGAAATGAACAAAACCCATATTCATACACTGATGAAGTCTCCTGCTCAATGAGGGAAAGCAGTTTCCTCTGAGAAGGGAGAAGACAGAGATCCACTTCTAAATGACCATGTCAAGGACCTGCGTATACAGAGAATGTTCTTAATCTGACTGATTGTACACCCAACAGTCACTACATGAAAACACACATGGACCACTATGAATGATAAATAATATTTATACACAGAAAATGAGGTCAGTAGATATACTGTAGTTCAAAAACATTTTTGATGATGTTAGAAAAAATGGATTGAATTATTACTGGAAACATCAACAGATGACAGAAGCTAGAGATGAAAGAGCAGATGAACACAGGAGGGAGGGAAGGCATCTGGGGTAATGAAGGAATTGTCTCACACTTGACATGCACTACCAACTCACAGACCCCCACAACTACACCCAATACCAAAAATCAGACCTCAATAATAAGTAACTTAAATAGAAAAGGAAATGAATTAGCTCAATTTCATATCTGTGCAAAGTTAATTACCTGTGGTATCAAAGTTTGCTCCTTTTTTATCAATCAGAAAGAAAATGAATCAGTCTATATATTTGCAATGAGGATCCAATGCATATTTATTTTGATGGATAAGTTGATTGGTAGGTAGATGATGGATGGGCAGCTAGATGACAGAAGGACAAATAGAAAGAAAATAGGCAAATGGATAGGTAGATGTTAGATGAATGGAAAAATAGACAGATGATAGATGTGCAGGAATCAAGTAAGAAAACCACAATATTTCCAACAAATAAATAATTAAAATGGTCTTTTATGTTGTAGGAAACTATGAAGCCTATTTGCTCAGATATTATATTTGTCTTTTATTTCATTTACATGCTTACTTTGAAGTGCTGGAGATAGAAATGAGGGCCTCATGTATGCTCAGCTGCCACCAAGCCACATCCCAGCCCATACTCCCATATACCTAATGTTGCCTGACTTCAAAACACCCAAAGACTTATAATGTACACACAAGTACATACAAGATAGTGGCTTAAGATAAGACTCCTCAATGTGACACTATTTGCCTCTCCTTGCATGAGGAGAGGCAAATTTAACTCTTCTGAGACTGAATTGTCTCATAACTAGCAACATAAGGGTGAGTCATGTGCCAGTGGCATTGGGTAGTTGACACAGGTTTGTCTGTGTGGCTACTGGCACAAACTAATGGCTCCTATGAATGGGCTCTTACCACATGTGCTGGAACTTGTTCGGCTTTGGCAGCGGGAGTTCCGGGTCTTGGATAAAACTGGTTGATGAAGAGGCTTGGGAATTTGTACTCTTCAACAAGTTTCAGTGTTTCTTGAAAATCCTGATCGGTTTCTCCAGGAAAACCACAGATAATATCCGTAGCAATTGTTATTCCAGGAACCCTGGGGAAGAAAAACAGACAAAAATGCAAAAAGAGTTGACTATGATCCAGAATCATTTTATTTCCTTGACATTTTAAAAATACAGTTTATTTATTTATTCATTTTTAGGACAGAAGACTTGCAAACAGTTTTGCAAAGCTCTAAATACTAAGAGATACAGTGAAATATAGTGCCCCCTGGTCATCCTCAGCAACATATATTTTCAATGCTTTTAGACATATTTTTTGTTTTGTTTTCTCCTCAGTATCTTAAGACAGATGCTTACTCTGTTATTTCTGGATTTGTTGGTTTTTCAAAGGCACTATTTAAGGACTTTTACATTATGGTAAATGAACTAGCTATAAATGTACTCTAACCCTACATTCCTAACACTATATTCATAGTACTTCCATACAAGTGCTGCAGATCCAACTGGTAGACCAACTGGTAGACCAATCTCAACAACATTTAAATTTTCCTAGGGGTAGTAACTGCCTCTTTGGAAAGTTTGCTTAATATTTTATGTTCCTAAGCTGATACCTTCTCAAGGCTTCATCAGACCTACCAAACTCAACAGCAGGAGGGGCTGTTGCCCAGTGGCAGAGCTTGCCAAACATGTACACACAGTGTTCTGTGTTCGATGTCTGGCACAAGTAGAAGTGGTGAGGAGATGACAAAAATCAAACCTATTTTCTAAACACTTGATGTAGTAGATTGCTCGGCACTCATGTCGCTTGTTACTGAAAGGCCACTTCTACTTTCTTTGAATATGTACTACTCCAGCAATGAACTGCTTGTTACCCTGGACTGCTGCTTCTTGCCCCCCCCCCCCTTTCCTCAGTCCTACGATCTAGTGCTTTCCTAGGTCTTAGGTCTTTCAAATTCTCAGCTACTTCCTTTACTCGGCTGGAGTATGTTCTCAGTATCAGGTGACACTGCTATTAGGTTTCAGGATGTCTGAACACACAACTGATTGTCAGTACCGTGGTATGTAACATTCCAAATTGAAAAGAATTATCCACCAGAATTTTGCATTGTTCCTTTAAAAAAAATGCTGATAGGTACTGAAGACATGGAATTCATTCCTGTGCATACTCACACTTTTCCAGTGCTTGATATTAAACCTTGGGCCTGTGTCAGCCAGATTAATGCTCCATGACTGACTCACACTCCAGCCATACATACTCTATTACATGTGCTATGTCACTCTCTTTTTAGGGTGTCACGTTTTTCTCAATCATTTTAAATTTCATGCTAATATGGCTTGTATTAGATTTTTTAAAAAAATGGTGTACAAGGCACAACTTAGACATAAGGTTTTTTAGTCTAGGAATCCAATTCTCTCATTATTTCTTTAATAATTTCTCTAGGGAATTGTCCCATATTATTTCTCTAGGAAATGTCATATATACCACTTTCTCTTAGGTATTAATTTCTTCTGAATACTGAAACTACCAGTTTGATCTTTAGCTTTTTTTGTTTTGTTTTCCATGTGTGTTATTTTTCTATCTTCCAGAAAATTCACTTGAGCATGTTTTTCAGTCTCTAATAAAAAAAAAAAAAAAGGCAGCAATTCAACATGTTTCAGTTTCTCACAGCTTTTTCCCCATCTTCAGTTTTCCTTTACAGGACACCTTGTTTCTGTTTTAGAGATACAACATCATTTCTTACTTGAAGATGTCAAAATCTGTCTCAAGTCTATGCTCATAGCCTTTGTACCCATTTCCTTCAGGCTGAGAATTTTCATCAACAAATAGTCATTTGCATTGTCCCCTTGGTATCAAAGAACAAAGTACTGTAAATATTTTTAAAGATATTTTATTTTGTTTCATGTGCATGAGTGTTTTCTCTTGATGTATGTCTGTAAACCACAAGCCCGGTGCCCATAGAAGTCAGAATAGGCATCAGATCACCCTGGAAGTTATAGATATTCATGAGCTATTATGTGGATCCTAAGAATTGAACCGAGTCCTCTGCAAGAGCAGCCAGTGCTCCTAACTGCTGAGCCATCTCTCATAGAGCAAATGGCCTTTGCTTTCAGTAGGCTCAAATGCTGGAGGTGTTGTCATTTTTCTCCACAGCCTTACAATTTCTATCAGGTAGGCTACAAAGTTCTCAAAAACTTTATCAGTATAATGGTAACAGAATGACACAACAGTTACTAATGATACTCCAAAATTATGAATGAACCTATATATATTAGGGAGCATATTCCATATCATACTACACCTATTTTCCTGTCACATGTGGTTCTTCATAGATGAGCACAACAATTTGGCGGTGTAAGAGAAAAGAAGGCTTGGTCAAACTGCAGAGCTCCTAACAAATTCATGAAAGCAGACGTTTTCCAACCCCCTTTGCATGGTACTTTATGTCTATATGAAGGAGACATGACTCACTCACTGTAAAAAGTACTCTCTTTCAATTTCTACTTTGCCTCAGATAGTCATTAATTTGGATGGATTATAACTTATAAAGTAATTGAAGGATTTTTCTATGTGATGATAAACATGAGGGACAATTTCTTACAGCAAAAAAAAAAAAAAAGGTCTCTTGTGACATAAACCCACTTCTTCCTTCTTTAAGGACAATCAAAATCACATTGGAAAACCATAGAACATATATTTACTTAGTAAGATGAAGAAAAAAGAACATTTTTCTAGTCTAAGTCTATGAACAGAAAGAAAGTGTAAATAATTTTCAATTAGTTAGTTTTACACTTCCCTTCTAACTATTCATGATCAAAAGAAATCCATAGCTAAAAATAGAGACAAAAGGTAACAGATGACAGAGTCTATCTCCCCCAGGAAATACCTTAGAAACTGCTTTTGAAACATGGCATGAAATGAAGACAAGTGGTCATTGTCCTAATTTCTGAAATCAGAATGAATCTGGCAATAGCTGTGGGTTATTCCCATAGGAAAGTCCCATTCTGATCACCCCCATCCTTCCCTAACCATCAGCTGGGCTCAGCACTGGCCAACACCTGCTTAGTTTGGCTTTCTTGGTGGTGGTGGTGGGGTGGGTGTGTGGCTTGTGACCAACCTTTAAAGGAACTACAATAAATTGGGATGTTCAAATGTGAATGTAACTCAACAATGTAACTTAAAAATCTGGTCTGGTAACACAGGAGACAGAATACTATGAGTTGATGGCATGCCAATATTTAGAGGTAGAAACTGTTTAATTGTTTAAAAGTATGTAAGAGTATAAGTTGATTATTTATATCGTAAAAGTAGAGTCTGCACCTTAATATCAGACAAGGCTCATCTATACATTAATTTGAAATATGCAAATGTTTCTACTTATATTCTTGAAAATAATTTGATCCCTTAGGTAAGCCAACTAAAATCTCATTTACATTGTTAATTTGTCTAGCAAATAATTCTCAGTATGCAAAAATCAAAGAAGTTTGAAGCGAAGCAAGTTCTAATTTTGTATCTTGTGATTTAAGTAAGAGGAAATGATGGGGGTGTAAAACAGAATATTATTACAAATATTTAAATGCTAATTCTGGGCAAACACTGTCTTTGATACACTGAATCTTCAAAATTCTAATTTTTAAAAATTTTCACAAATTTATTGTAGTGAGTAACATGTATGCAATAACTAAAGAGTATGCTCTTGAGTTTCAAAGCCTTTTAATATTTATGTTTTCTTAGTAGTTTAAGGAAGTAATTCTGAAATGGTGAAATAAAAATATTCAATGAGCTGCAATAACAGGAAAAAATTGACTCATCATTTTCTCTGGCTTAGGTTTACTACCAAAGCAGGTTTGTAAAATAACTCAGGAATAGAATAAGGGGGGTCCTAATTGCATATCTTACTTATCAGATACAGCTACTTTCAGTTACAGAACTGTATGAGGGACCTGGAGTGACTACACAGTATCTGCTAGTACTAGGTTGGGGCTTAAGAGGTTTGGGGATATAGCTCAGTTGGTAGAATGCTTACTTAGTATGCAGGCCCTGGGCTTGATCTCTAGCACTATATAAACCAGTTTACTGGTACAAAAGACAACACAGTACAAGACATTTCAAGAGTCATTTTGCTTGAATGAAAAAAATACATATATGTGCTCCATGATTTGATTTCCCAAGAAGACTTTTGTTTAACTTAAGCTGGCCTCAAAAATAGCCAATTAGTCAAGGCTGGTCTCAAATTCCTCCAATCCTCTACTTCTTTCCAAGTACTGGGATTGTGGGTACCTATCATGACACCAGGCTCTGAAAATTTGAAATACTACTTAAAATGCATACGTTAATTCATCTTCAGATTTTCATTTACAATTACATATTTTATTGATAAGGATGTGAAAAGGAGTGCTCCTATTTCATTTTTTACTGTTGTTGTTGAAGAGAGAGTTCCATTCCATTACCCAGAATGGTTGAGACTCACAATGTAGCCTCAGCTGGCCTCTAACTCCCAGGATCCTCCTGCTTCAACGTCTCAAGTCCAGTGTTTACAGGCATTCAACACCATGCCCACCTATTTCATTTCTTAAATTAACAAACTCTCAGCTTTAACTCTGTAGACATGTAAGAAATCAGGACTAATACGCACATGGTTGCTTATCTCAAAAAATAAAGGAGCTGAGAAAAGTGGCCCAAAGTATAAGATATAAAACCATAATTAAACAAACACGTTTTAATACTATTGTGCCTTATTTCAAGAGAATTATACAAAACTACTGGGACAGTAAACTGGAAATAGGAAGAGGAGAGAAAGATCTTGAACCAAACAGAAATGAAACAGACTATCTATAGATATGATTTACAGTGAAAGCAGTCCTTGGGAATTTGAAGGTTTAATGACTGTATTTGGAAGACACAAAATCAATTTTCTTAGCTTTCATTTCATAAAACCAACAGAGGTAGAAACCACACTCAAAGTAAAACAGAGATGAAATTTTAAAAGTATGGGGAGGAAACAATAAGGAGAAAAAATCAATGAAAGTAAACACATATATAAAAAATTTTAAATTACTTAAGTTCAAACTAGGCTGAGAAGAAAAGGATATA